CCAGAAGACAGAAATCTTCATACTCATCGCCCTGATGACGGAGGCAGTATGACCTCTGAAACGTTGGTTAACATCGACCAGACTACACAGCGCAACAACCCAGAAGACGGCCATCTTAGGACTCACCGCCGTGAAAACCTCAAATCCTACTTAATTCTCTTCCTGGTTCATTTATCTGAGGACCTTTCCCCGAGTAAAAGCGACCTCAACGACAAATATGCAACTAAATACGGTTTAACGTCTATGCCCCGAAAGCGATTCGAACTCAGAACCAAACTTGTTATACCGCGAGCGTCTTTAGTGATTTCTCTGAAGACTGTAACAAATTTATGAACGCAGCTAAACTACAAGTAATCTGAGACGCCATATCTACCACTTCTGTCGCAATACTTAGTTAAAGATACGCGACAGAAGTGATGGGAGTCTCTCCATCAACGTTCCTGATTCTCATACACCTTTCTACGAAATTAATACGTTTAGGGCGCTTAAGAAAGTTTCTCAAATGTCCTAATCCTTTAAAATTCCAGAATGCGAAAATGGCAAACGGGTATCAGACTGGTAGAAGAGAGAATGATTAAATGCCAGTGGGACAAGGTTCAGAAATTACGTTCTGCAATATCTTAATTATCATAACTAATACACTCTACACACCTCACATTCTGGGAAACTTACTGGCGGTCACAAATACATGAATTGGAGATTATTAAACGTCCCCAGGTTTGCGGGAAGGAACACAACCCATTTAACACAATTTTCAACAACCTTCTGATCACCGAAAACACTTATTTCCTACCAAAGAAATTCACCCTGTTTGACATATGAAATAGAACAAAATAATGCACTGTTGTTACAAGCGTGTGTGAATCAACACATCCCTGTCTTATAAGCCCAGAGGAAAACGCACAGGACATTAAACTAAGAGGTGCCGTTCCATGCATGACGATTCCCAGACGCACAAAAAGGCAGCCAACCGGTTGTCTTACCTTGTATATGGTTAGAGATCTCTCCGCCAGTTGGCAGCACTCTCGCTCTTTACGGTACTCCGGTTAAATTTGCTTTTACCTCTAACCGACACAACAGAGAACGTGTGGAGTGTTCAGGAGTAAATCATTGTCATTCATGCTAAACGAACACAACGCATCGACGTAGGATGTAGTTAAATACATTGTATGAAAAAGTCATGCTACTTCAGAAGTTTAGGCTCTCTCAACTAACTTGCGCGCATCAGAGTTCTGTCTTGTGTCCAAGTTGCCCACACAACGAACACTTTCGGGTTTAGACTAAGCCGAAAGTAAATTTCTCTGTTCAGTATAAGAACTGGCCCGTGGAAAAAGAATCTGCAACAGATCGCTCACGTTTCGTTTTAAAAGTTGGACTAGCAAAATAACCGCGTTTTTAAAATACAATTAAAAATAAAGTGCCTGAGAACAAACATGTAAATCTACAGGAAGTTGCAAGGACGAATTAAAGATTCAGCCCCTGCGCTGAATGTCTTGCTCTGCATGGCAGAATAACTTTATATCAAAGTCAAGTTCGGAGACTTCAACGCACGTGTAAGACAGCGTGTGTGTAACAAAAAAGTGGCGAATTATTTTATCACCCCATAGCTATTAGTCGTCTTCGATTATATCATAGGTTGCAAAGTTTAATTTTTACATACGTAACCAACAAGTAGCCACCAATGCGAACAAGTCACTCAAGTAGATTTATAAACTTCTTTTGAAATTAATTCGTAAGTTTATATAACGATGCGGTTTCAACTCCACACTGCTACAACGTCGATTAAATTGGAAAACTACGACTGGCGAATCTAAGGATTTTTAAGAACGCCGTTCAGGCTTAATTTTTCTACGTGAAACAATGGGTTCATATTTCCAGTGCATCAGTATACACACATTATGTTGCAGCCATCTACAAAAGAGATGATTAGTATTTCTCGTCCTGAAAGAGACTACTTTCAAAATGTCATTAGAAAAATATCTTGCTAGCCTGAAAATTGTTAAAAGTCAATAAACACACAGGATTTTGACAAGACTAACGTCATGATCAATTGAATTAAAATTTTCTTGGATATTATCCATCGTCTAGTAAATATAAAACGTAAAACGACGTTTCGGAGATGGGACTCTATCTCCGTCTTCAGGTTCCTACACAGTTGGGCCAACTAGATAGAGCTGATCCCTAGTCCCATCTCCGAAACGTCGTTTTACGTTTTATATTTACTAGACGATGGATAATATCCAAGAAAATTTTTATTCAATTGACTCTTCACCATCGTCAAGAAGTTTTAGATCTGACGTCATGATGTTTGCTAACGAAACGTATATTAATTTTATAACACAAGTGATTAAATATGAACAGCCAAATCCCTTGCTTTATATATTGATAACAACGTATACTGAAAAAAAAACATTGAATGTATCATCTAAGGTCAGCCATGGCACTCTTGAGTTCATTTTGCTTATTTCCAATCTACAATATACTGAACTGTCACATGGGAAAATTCAGCAGATAGCAAAAAAAATATTCAAAATAAATCATTAGAATAAGTTAATATGTTCATAATAACCTTGTAGCACAAATCTAAGAAATTTAATATACTTCCCCCCTGCAAATAAATTCTTACTCTCATCAAAGTTGTTGGTTGTGAACACGAAAGGGCTTCAGGGAAATTCTCACATGCGCAGTGCAAACACAAGGCCTAAACATGACCTTCGTATGCCGAATGCTAAGCATACTACCAGAGTTATCAGGAAGGTGCTTACTATACAGGACACAAGTTATTCCATATTCTTCCATGTATCAAAATTTAAATAACGACAAGATTGCACTAAAAGATTACATTTTATCTCATTCAACTGACAATTCTTAAAAACCGTATGTCCTGTTCTTTCCTGTTTTATTGTTATATTATATCCTGTTCTCTTCTAAATTTACCGATTATGTAGCGAAAGAAGCCGTCTTCCTGCTATTCAGGCTTCTTACCCTTACATACCATGAATATAGCTATTTAATGAGCGTAATATAACATATGGCCAGGAGCAATGACTGGGCAGATGTTGCATGAAGCAGTTTTTGTACGTGGTCACTGACCGAAAATGACAGGATAAGCACAAACCAACTGCGAATTTGCTTATTCGTGGGTTATACATAAGGAGAGGCCACCATCCATCTGAATGGTATTCCGGGACCGCACCACTGGAACTAACACTGAAAATACCACCATTATTTTGGATACTGTCCATTGTCTGAGGTGCAATCGACGTTTCGGCAACTGGTTATTTTCGCATTCAGATTAATTGAATTACACAGGCCTAGTAATTATGACATTAGCCTTTGTATTTCAAAGTTCCTGTGTTCGGTCGCAAACGTCACTAATTTTAAAATAAAATAATTTAATACTGTGGATTAAACCAAAATAAGTTCCTGTGTTCGGTCGCAAACGTCATTAATTTTAAAATAAAAGAATTTAATACTGTTGATTAAACCAAAACATAATCAAGTAACTCCAAACTACAGTCCTGTTTGAGAATCTTATAGTGGCTCAGCTGGTCCAGAAATTCGCCACATTTTACGAAATCCGAAAGTTCATTACCGTTTTCATACCAGATCGCCACTGAACCCTGTTCTGGGCTACCTGATCCCGTCCACACACACACATCTTGTTTAATAACACGTAATGAACCTTCAGGTACTATAAAAGACGAATAACTCTTGACAAGATACGCGACTAGCAGCTACTATGTCACATGAAGTTAGTGGAGGCCTCTGGGTATTACAATAGGCATGACGTTTTTACGAGGGCAGAACTGGTACCTGGGATCCACAGGTAGGACAAGGAATGGCGGCCAACCCACCGTCCAGGAACAAAACACCTGACCCACAGTGGATGTCTGTACTACCCGTTCCCACAACATCAACCCGAAGTAGAAAGAGAATATTGACCAAACATATCCGATCATTTTAAACAAAAACTTCCAAACCTAATGTCTATCGCGGTCTTCCGGGATATTGTGACAGAAATGACAGATTTTTCACAGGTGCTTACTGCCTCCATCATCAGTGTCTGCGAATCCGTACACTGACACTCGGAGGACATTTGACTGAATTCTCTTATAACAAAAACTATTCACAATATACATTTTATTTAAGTTTGAAAAATTTGTGCGACATGTTTCAAATTTATGAGTATTGGACAAAATCAACATAATTGCTTATTCGTAAATTCATGTAAAATTACAGTTAAAATTTTCTTATAACGCCCAATCCGCCACATGGTTTTGGAGATAGCGAATTTTACATAAAACATCGAAATTTCATACACAGAAACGGATCTATCCTTTACATGTTTTTCTAATTCCCCTTCGCGCAAAAGACACAAGCGGAACTGTTAAATTACAAATTACAACAGAAAAGTTCACAATGTCTTCATCACCAAATTGCATAATGATATAAGTATATAATCAGCCTCATTCATACCTTTTACAAAGACTGTTCCTTACATCACACCCGACATTAATATTCGTCCCCCCTCCCCCACACACGGTCACAGCACAGGCTGGAGAAACTGATAAACCGGACCTGCAACTCGGCGATGCCAACCAACACGTTTCACGTTCTTCCCGTTACAAAACGGGGAAGAACCGAATACTAACGCACAGTATACGAGCCGTCAGCCGTGTAGTGTGACCAATGGACTCCTGTAAATTAATTTATGATTTATTTAACTACGCCGGATAAGACAATAACTAATAAATTGGAAATATATGAAAGCGATCGTGGCCTAGTTTGGGACATTATCCCGACATCTGCTTGTGGTACATGAGAAAAACCACGGAAAACCTGTCAGGATATCCAGTTTCCAGGCCGAGATTAGAACTTGGGATCTCCCGAATAAGATTAGGAATGCTAACCTCTCGGCTGTAAAGCCAATGATGTTTCCTATTTGATATTACTGCAGATCTGAAGTAAAATTTTATGCTAAAATGTCGAACAACCTTAACGATGAAATATAATGGACGGAATTTCCTGCAAATATAGATGACGCGCCAAACAAAAGAGTCGGAGAAGTTGCCGACCGATCACGGCGATATCTTCTAAGCGTTTCCCTGTTCTACTACAAACCTTCATGGTTTTAAAACGAGACCATCTTAACAAAATGACTGACTCTTCTGTTCTACCAATAAGATTATGTTCTGAGTACAACATTCGGATTCACGAGGGAGGAGATAACACAAAATTGGACAAAATCCCACATGGAAATAAGCACATCGTCCACCGGAAATTATTAGGGCAAAGACGTCAGAATGTGATTGGTGACCACGTAGCACGAATAATGGAGATAAATGCATACACAGTATTAGCTGGAAAGTACGAAGGAAGTGTTCACTTTGGTAATCTGTGAGTAGGTGGAAACATCACTTGTGGCGCAGTTAAGATAATATTAAAACGGATCTTTAAAGGAACATACCAAGTTACGTGGGCTAAATTGAACTGCCTCGAGAAGAGGACTAGGCAGTGAGCTCCTATGGATAATTTCCAGACAACAAAAACTTCTGCCAGATTCTGAAGTAATTCCTCATGTTTAGCTATTCGTTTACACGAGCTTCCACTCGAGAAAGTAAAAGGTTTATATATTTGCTCAATTTTATCAGTCTAATCACAATAAAATATTATTAAATATTAAAATATTATTACAATTAACATTTAAATATTTAAAATATATTAAAATGATGCTCTCTATCGAAATGTTCGATTTACATTAGAGCATCATGCTCTAATGTAAATATGCAATATTTTAATATTTAATAATAATATTTTATTGTGATTAGACTGATAAAATTGAGCAAGTATATATTCAACACAATATGACGCAACATTATCATCTCATAAAAGCTTTATATAAGACAGAATCAATCTGATTGGTGTGCAGAAACTGACAAAACAACGCATGTCATGTTTCATGTCCTGTGCCCCTCTGCATTTGAGCAAGTTAGAAATCCAAATTTTAAACTCCAGCAGCCAACATTGTCTAGTCATTGCTTTCGCCCTACGTAAACATTAATATTACGCTTACGACCAACGTGATGACGTGCCTTTACGATGTCCCGGATAAATATTATCTCCATATTAAGGGCTTTCAAGTCTACATGGCATTACTACCAAGAATACCAACACAGGAAATATATTTGTAATAAAACATGTCTTGCTGGACACGTAAATGTTCAATCTTACACACACCTTACAAATCAAAGAACTATATGTCCTCTGCTAAACACGCATTTCTTGGCAACATAATATGGGACAGCTGAAAAAGTTTTTATATTTTTCTCATAACAGAGAGCTCCTAAATCACTTGAAGAACAGTAAAAGACGGTTCCATCCAATGGAATTACAAAGCCTTCACAAGGCCTTCACAACCCTTTCATAAAACAGACCTAACTGGAAGAAAGGGCTTTCCCTCTACCATATCCCTTTCTTTTACCTTCAATTACAAATGTCAAAGAGTAACAGGTAGTTTCATTACTGAAAGCAAGGTGCATTTTGGGGGACAGACCTTCAACAGGTGTATGGAACAGGGAACACCCAGACTTCATGGAACATGCAAGTTCATTACAGTGTTCACATTTCCCCTTGCGACATTAATATGGCACATAGCAGGCTTGCAGAGTATGGGGAGAGGGGCACCAGAAACAATCTCCAGAATAAACTGAGCTGAGGTTCCAGTTAAATTCAAGATCTCCATAGTAAAACGATCGACACAAACAAAGGCGGGCGATGCAGACTTACGCACAGAAGCGTCCAAAACCTCAACCATCGTCAGTGTCGGTCGCTGTAGACATAATCGGGGGGCCTCACGTATCGGCTACTACCTATTGATTCGGAACGCGTGTAACAGCTCTTTTTAAATTTCAGAGATAATGACGTCAAATTAAGTGGCCATTAGACAAGCCGAAGACAAGCCAAGGTTAAAACTGAGCATCACAATACAAATTTTCACCAACCTGTCTATAAGGTCGACTGCTGTCATCTTCAAGCGTCCCACAGACAGGTTAACGTGCGGACCTTGGACCTTACACGGTTTCTGAATGACCGCTGTCGGAAATCGAACCACAGACGTCCAGGCCATTTTCTTACAGGGACTCTGTAAGCAACGATGATAACATATATAGCATACTAATGATGGCATAGGTCGTTTTACTAAATTTTGAAGATATGGAGACGTGAAAATTGTGTTACGCTACTCAGAATGCCCTTCCAGAGCTGCCAACAACCTACGTCGCGTAATATGTGCACTAACATCGAGTTGACAAACCTGCAGCTTTCACCTTCACAAATACCTTGGTAAACGTCGTCACACGTGTTATCTCTCTCTCTGGGACTCATGGTTTACCACCGTATAACCTTCAATGCACTTCACTCACTCATAACTACTAGTTATTAAGTACAACCATTTCACATTCTCTGTTGTCCTCACACTCATACTTCATATTAACTGTTGAGATATCTTCCGTTCTTAGAGGTGACTGGAATTAGATTAAACAGAACGACCTCAAACAGCTTTTTAAACCATCTGAAATCGAGGCTCGTCTAAATTCTATCTAATTCAGTCCGCACACCAAGGAAAACAACTCTTCACCATTGCAAACATTAACTATTTCACAGTGTTTAAGGAAATAATCGCTTTGAAGAGCCAATGGAATTATTTAAGATACCGTGAACAGAACAGTCAGTAATTTTATCAAACCTCATGATCCATAGTTCTTAAAGTAATTTCCACTATATTCTGATATAAGCTGCATTCCTAGAAGTTACAAAGAACAGTAAGTTGGCTACACTGCAGGCCAACATAACGCCACTCCATAACCTATTTTCCAAATCCTGTTAAAAATACCCAGACCAATCAATCTTGACGTATTTACAGCTTAGAATGTAAAAATTCAAAAAGAAAATAATTTTTCACACATGTATATAAAAAATCACACTTAAATACTGTAGAGTAGAAAACAAATTATCTCATAAATTCTAATGTTAAACAACACTTACAAAAAGTGTTGAAATATTGAAAAAAAATATATACAAAAAATTTTCATTATCAGGAGATAAAATCATAAATTGTTTTGTCTTCCTTCTTCATCCCTTATCCTGCAAGAAAGAACATTTATTTCTACACAATTCGATATGAGTTTGGTGTCTGTACTGTTATCTGGTCCCGAACTACAACACTTTTTGTAAAATAATGCACACGTACCTTCAATATCGGACATAGTTTCAACAGGTGGGCCCGTTGTTTCTTGAGTACCATCACATCACTTTCAGTACAACCAGACTCATCTCCCGGAATAAAGTCACTATCACTATCTATAGTATCTAAATAATCCAAAATATCGTCAACATTCATTCGTGACCTTGGACCAGCCATTGCCGAATTAATACTTCTTAAAAAACTAAACCTATATACAATAAACTAAAAAATATGACTAAATAATATCATAAGCACTATGTAAACTTCTAAAAACACAACTGCAAGGCTAAACACTTATCTTTAGCAAAAAATACAGCGAAATCAACAAGCAATGACTGTAAACACGCCACGAGGTCTTCTGAACTCAACGAATTTAATTTGTTCCCACGAGATATTTTCTGTTGGCTTAAGGGATCGATCTGTTGAGGAAAATATGAACTAAAGTATAAATTATCTGATGCAGCCGTTGCCATCTGGGAGCCGTGTATGTAATTAAAACATGAGATTTAGCAGGTGATGACGGATTGGTAGACTGCGTAGCCAGTTCTTCTAAGACTTGAGCGCCGTAACACTTGAACTGTCCAGCACTTCACACCGAGGCACTGATTACTATCAGCACTTTTCACAATATTTTCCTTCCAGAAAAATGGGTTCTTCCGACGAGATCACCAAGCTGCCTGTGTGTACATACCAATCCCGAGACTCTCCTATTTAGGCCTTTTTTTTCTTTTTGTAAACTCAAATTAGCAACATGGCGGCCGTGCGAAATTTCTTAGCTGCCATCTCGATAAAGATAACTATTAAACCACTGGGGCTAGGCATGTAAAATCTGGTCTTTAGGCACATCGTTAAAAGTATACCTACAATTAATTGTTCTTGTAAGCTAATAATTATAAAAAAAAGGCGAGAGTGAAGAATCTTTCAGATTATATCGGAAAATTTTAACTCACCTTGTAGGTTTAGAGATCTTTTCAGAAATATAATACCATCTTGTAACATGTTTATAATAAATAAAACTAAGATATGTAGGCAAAAGACAAACGTGTGATGAAACACCCTTTCGTCTTTAGAGACTTAATTTAATAAGGAAGAATGATTCCGTGTTTGTTTATGGCAGTACACAATTTCCATATGCCAGTTTGAAGGTAAAAATGTTGTTTATTTGTACTTAGCTGTGGCTTATCTAACGACGCTGTCAGCTCAGACTAGACAGCGTCAAATGATACCATGATAATACTTGGAAGGATATGAAGGGCTATTAGTAATGCTACTGAGAATATTACAGTAATAAATGAGAAAAATCCGAGGAACCTGTCTGGAGTGTCTGTCTCCGGTTCTACTTTTCAAACCAAAAAGTGCTCTAATGTACTAAATATCCCTGCAGAATGGTATCTAATATGCATGTAGTTACAAGCATAAAGTAATATCTCAGCCCTACGAAGTCGAAGGTCGCCTCGATAAATATTTAAGAATTGAGTCCGTACCTCTAAGAAAACACAACACTTCACCGTTACAAAGACCAGACGGATTGCGTTGTTCAAGGAAATGATCGCAGTTTACACTGGGAATGATACGAAATTCATAAATGCAAAATGAAGAGTTATCGTTTGCTGAAGCAAGAGGTAAATATAATTACCACTGAGCTCTAAAGGTTTAAACACGTGTCACGTAAGCAGTTTCAGAGACCGCGGTTATTAATAAAAGAAGGCCTAAACCGGACACGTTTGTCAGCGGTATCCAACTTTCAGTTTATCACTACGCTGCTACAAGCAAATTCCAAGGGAAACGACATCAGTCTATGAATATATTAACTCGGCTCAAAGCAAATTTGTATTTCACACGTGGATACCAACGTCACAACATCGTAACAGGACGCAGCAGTACAAATACAACGAAAGTAAAATAAAAATGCAATGGCTACTTGCAAAGGTCGACCAGACTTGGGACCAACGTCACTTCAAACAGGCGTTTAAACATCTTAATCATCCAATTATTACGTGTAATAATAATAATAATAATAATAATAATAATAATTGCAATATGTTTTTTTTCCAATGTTACATTATTAACTAGGCATTCTTTCGTTTGAGTCATCAGACCGAAAGGCATCTCCTACCCGAACGCATTCTTATGGTTCAAGTTTTCGCGAGTGTTATTATACAAGTTGGAAGGTCTATTAATTTTGGAAACACCGCTACGAATAAGCTACAGAGATGAACAGAATACCGCTTTAAAGTTAATATTTTAATATTTTCCGTCAAATCACAATTTTAATAAGATAATAAAAAACTCATCACCGGTATGTTTTATTAAATTAATTTTATTTTATTTTACTTATACATTCTACTATTTATTTACTTCCATCATTTTCTTTTCTATATTACTCCACATTTATTAATGTTTTTATTTAAATCATTGCTTTACAGACTAATATTGAACATCAGATGAACCACGCCATATAAAGAACAATACCTTCGTTCTAATATATAAGAGTAATCTGATAAGAACATTTCAATAAACTGCATAACATTGTAAAAGAATTGTAATTCGAGTTTTAAATTTACCAATCTAATTTATACCTGAGGACGGTTAAATATAACCGAAACATGTCGTAAGAGACGCTCCAATTTGTAAATCGATCATTCGATGCGGAACGTGAAATGATATTTTAAATATTTAATATTTTATTATCTGATTAAAATTGTGATTTGACGGAAAATATTAAAATATTAACCTAATTCACAATATGACGCAAATATACTACCTTACCGCTTTAAAGGTTTATCATGTCGGCGAATTTTATAAACCAAGAATTTGCTTGCTTCGTTCGTCGTATTTATGAAATGCTGACATTTTAAAACGAAAGGTTACTTCAGAACACCCGCGAAAGTTCGGTTGATTAATGATTCATTACTGCATCTTGCATCTTGTAATGTGACGTAATGGAGAAACTGATTTGCATGCAGCGTGACACCGAAATGCATCTAAACAAATTAAGTTCACATGTTGCATCGCCTCGTGCGTTCTATTAACACGTTTCTCGGAATAGAATAATCACTATACTGTAGTTTTACTGTACTATAGTCCCACATGTGCGTAACTTGGTCTCTCGAAGGACATAAAATAACATGGACTGAGAGCCACTTTCGGCCACGAGTCCACTCATAACCAAGCCCGCGAAATTATTTGCAAAATTTGTTAATCCTTACTACAAGTTCATTTATTTACTTTACTCCGACGGATATAAATAATAAATAAATAGCGAATCTGATGTCGTCTGCTTTACGTACAATCGCAACACGCGATAATGACTTTAATTACAAAGTATGGCAATATGTAATTTCTGAACAAAAGTCAAAAAAACAAAGAAAATTGGTTATTTGTTTCCAAGAACAGAGCCTGGAGGGGTTTCTAGGCCCTTGGGTCCACCAGCAAAACGCAGAGAAATGCTTTTGTTATGTTGTTTGTAGTTACATTACCTACATTAAGTCAACCAACTGGTAAACACGTGAACTGCCAGACATAAAAGCTATGACTGACTTGACCAAAGAAGATTCCTACAAATTTCTGTGGCCACTCAAAATTAACTCCCCACTGTTTAACAACGTCCGCCTTCTAAGGAACAATCTTATTTCAGTCCAGCAAAAACAATTAATATATTACCCGCCAATAATAAAAAATTCTAAAGCAATAAACAATAATAAATCATGTAATTAGGATCATCAGTTAACCATAAAATGATCACGAACCAATCAACACATAGATAGATGGACCAACATCCCTAAGTAGCAAATTAACACCAACCAACACTTTTTTATATAAAGGTTATAAGCTAGATGTTAAACGATGACTTTGTTGCTTTCAGAACGTAACAAACATACGCCAGAGAGCAGCAGCGTGGATCTGTTTGGACGTCCACTGACACCAGAGAGCAACACCACACGGTCGCCATCGCCGGCAAGTCCACGAGCTCCTATACCAACAAACAAACCGACCCTTCGGTTCATTTCTTCTATCTTGGGCGGCGATGTACCCTACAGGGGCCACATCCCCACTCGTGCCGAGAGGAAGGAGTACGCCCCGGCAACTTCTCAACCCCCGTCGGCGCCGGGAACCCCTCCACCTCCGCCACCCCCACCACCGCCGCCGGCACCACCCCGATGTCAGCAGGTGTCGGTAATACAGCGCACTCCGAAACCACCGCCCCCCGAGTCTCCGAAGCCAATACAGGAACCAGAACAGGAAGCCCCAATCGATTACCACGTCCCAAAGAAGCGGCCGGAGGAACCGCAGAGACGGATCACCGTCACAGTCAAGAGTCTGCACCAGCTGAAACGGAGCTCCATGCCGTCTCTGGCACTCCTCGGGGGCAGTACACAGCCGCGGACGGTGGCCGCGGGGCACAGCCGCGGTGGCAGCGGCGGAGGCGGAGGCCATCAGGGGGCCGGCAATTCCCATCACAGTTCAGGATCAATGTCTCAAGGATCCTATGGCGGTGGAGGCGG